TGGATATTGAGATCTTAAGCCTTTGATCAGGTCCTATTATTTACAGGAAGTTTCGGAGTTTTTGTTTGTCGTATTTTATGGCAACAATGATTAAGACGATGGGGAAAAATATGTTTTTATTTCTCAAAGAAAATAAGGAATGCACTTAAATCTCTTCCCATGGTAAATTTAAGTAATTAAATTTTTTTTACTAGCATACGGCATTTTAAATAAAGCAAATAAATGAAATTTGTTTCTATTTAGGCAAAGCTTAAATTTCACACAATTTTTTTTTTTCCTGTGCTATCTTAGATACATGAATTATTTTATTTCTGAATAAATAGTATCCATAAGATCTTTCTTTACAAGTAAAATTAAAGTAATATACTACTTCTTGTGCAACGTAAATTCATAATCATAAAACATAAGCAGCTTAAAAACTTCCGATCACAAACTAACGACTCGAGGAGTTCATTACTAAGCATTCAAAAAAATTCACAAAAATATTTAAAAAATTCAGATTTATAAAAATTTTAAAATTAAAAAAACGTAAATTTTGTCTTAATATGCAGATTTCAATTAACACCTGCAACAAATTTTAACTAAGAATGTGCGATAACCAGACGTGTTTAAGAATTGATCCCTAGAGATTAAAGATACAAAATATAAAAAATTGACTTGTAGATGGTTTATTTAAAATAAGAGTGACAAACTGTAGAAAACAATATTTCTGTTGCAGTGATTCATTTAAATTAATTTTACTTCCATGTGGAGAGTCACTTATTTGCTACAGAAAAGACTTAATTATTCAAGCTGTAGCTGTGCATGTTTGTCTAGACCGCTTACGCACGAAACTTACAGGAAATATTTCGCTCAACAAGCAATATGTTTTATTTTACTAGGACACCAAATGCACGTACTCAGAACAACAAACACTTCAAGAAGGTTTCTTTATAGGTTTTTGGAAACTTTAGGCGCATTTTTGATCAAGTTTTAAAGTGAAGATAAACTTAAAATGTCTTTGTGCGAAGTAAATGATTTTAAAATAATCGCGTTTTATTTTAACTAGCGATCTTCCAAGCTAGTTTAAATAACTACTTTATGTGTGTGTACTAGAGTGAAAACAATGTCGGCTTAATGCACGTGAAAAAGAAACGAACTATGATTAAGCTTATGAACTTCAAATTTTACTTAGTTAAACGAATTTAAAAAGGTCTTTGCTATTTTTTTTTTTTTTCTGAAACGAAGCTTCTTTTAGGAATGTTTTAAAAGTTTGTAGTGCCAAAGTATTATTAAAAAAATAAAAATTATTTATTTCTCTGTTTACGAACTACTACTTATGTTTATAAACTACCCCCGTCTTATTAAATCTCATGAAAAAATACAAATTTGCACTTAAAAATATATTTCGTAGTTTCATTAAACTAAACTGCTCTTTAGTTAAATAAAATTTAAAACACTCTTTGTTAATTTTACTCTTCTTTAGAAACGAAGCGATAATTTTAGGATTATTTTAGAAATTTAAAGTTCCAAATTATGATAAAAACTGGTAGAAAATTCAAATATTTCTACGCATACGAACCAATTCTTATGTCTGAAAATTATCTCCTATCTAAATTATTAAATTTACTCTTATTAAAATTATTACTAATACTTTTATTGAAAACAAAAGCATAGAAAATTAAGTATTTCTATGTCTACGAACTGCTTTTTATGTCTATGAACTACCTCCATCTAATTAAATCTCATGAAAATATTCACATTTGCACTTAAAAATATACTTCCTAGCTTCATTAAACTAAACAGTTACTTAGTTAAACAAATTAAAAATGTTCGTTGTTATTTTCTGCTCTTCATTAGAAATGAAGCTATAATTTTAGGGAATATTTTAAAAGTTTATAGTTCCAATTATTAAAAAAAATGATAGGAAATAAAGTATTTCTACGTATACAAACTGCTTATTCTGTCTAAAGCTATATCCGCCTAGTTAAATCTCATGAGAAAATTCACATATGTACTTAAAACTGTATTTTCTAATTTCATTGAATTAACTCTGAATGAATTGATTATGATGAAATAAAACAAGGTAACATTAATATTTATTCCTTCATCTTCATAACATGTAATTTATTTATAACTGGCAAACCAAGTGAAATTAGTGGCAGCATTTAACTTAAAAAAGAATTGTAAAGAATTAAGCAAGTAGTATGAAACTTTCATTTGTCATATAGGAACAATGTTACTGACGGAAATTAATAGAAAAAAATTATTTTTATGAAAAAAATTGTAAAATATGATTAAAATAACAAAGAAATTAATCATTTACAAACCTTTATCATATTTTGTAACACTCTTTCAAACGCTTTTATGAAAACTATGAAGTCCTCACATTAAAATAAAAAATTAGTTAATTTTATTAGTTAATCTATCTGAAAAAAAAAAGGATTAGCTATATACCTGAAAATTATTAATTAAAATTTATTGGTTATCTATCTGAAAATTGCTAGTTATCCATCTGAAAACGACTAGTTTCAATTGGAAAGTTATTAGTTAAAAATCATTAGCCATCGATTTGAAAATTATTAGTTAAAATTATTAGTTATCTATCTGAAAATCTCTCACAAAATTATGTTTTCTGGATTTGTCTAATTTTTATTTAATAAAGCTCAATATTAAAATTTGCCATACAGAAAGAAATCTGAGTCTGTTTTTGTTAACGTTGTAAGAATTTATTAATTTTTGAAATAATTGCGATTGAAATCAATTTTATAATAATTATGAAAAATTTATACAACTTTAATCAAAATGCCATAATTTCAACTAACTGCACGTCTAGTATTTGATTTAATGTATTAGAAACGATTTAAAGTTTTGATCATTTATTGTCCATTATTTCACGACTTAGTTATGTTTTGCTAAGTAATTAAAAAAGCAGCACATTCATTTTTTCTAATATTTTTTAGTTCACAAAAGCTATTAAAATAAGCTGAAAGACTGAGAAATGTTTCTAATGCACAAATCTTTGAAATTAGAAATTACAAATACTGTATATGCTCATGATAATAAAACTGTTGTCTGGCAGATTCCAATCCAATGAATCTTCAAAAATATTTGAGAATCTAAAACTCTCATCAACAAGTGTAATCCGTACTTAGAATTTTTCGAATTCTAATCTCAAAAACACGAAGGACTCTAACTCAAACTTCCGAAAAGATTAGTTTTAATGATATTCAATGGAAACGATCCATAAATAAATAAAAATAAAATCTTTCGATTTCAAATTTTTGCTTTTAGCTATAAAAAAAATGTGAAAGTTCAGATTTATATTAACCAAAGGCTCTTTTACAACGTTGGTTACTTATTATTAAGATTGTTTTCGCCTTAAACTTAAAAGAATTCAATGCAGTATCGCAAAAGATTTAAAAAGAGCATATCTCTACAATTTCGCTACACGGTCGTACCACGGAGATAATTGTGTTTTTGTTGTTGTTGAACTGTGCATGTCGCTTTTAAATACTGGGTTGTTAATCAAAAATTGTTGAGTTTTAAAATTGAAATAGATAATAAAAACAATTCAGATTCCAAATTAGGGCTTCCAGCTGCTCATATTCGGGTGGAGGATTCAGTTATCCAAAATTTGACGGCTCTAGGCACCGTCGTTTTATTCCAATGCGAGAAATACGCATACATTTATGCAGATTCTTCATTATTTAATTTCTTTAAGTATAACTTAGGGCGATAATATTTGGTGACAGCAATTTGAAAAGTGATACAGCCGTTTAAAGTTTTCAACGCAAAATGCCAAAACTAAATTAATAGCCCTTCTGGATTAACGATTCTGGGCTAAAAGGGGGGGTTCAGGTATGATTGCAATGTTATCTCGTGGAAGCTCTGTCTCATAGTTTTAGCATTTATCTATGCTAATTCCAGAAATAATCATTTCTGTAATTTCTATCTATAAAAAATACAAGCCATCTGAACTACTGCTTAAATGTTTTTTGGTTAAATTACGTTCAGAAAATTAACATGAAAACTCAAAAGTTTTAATTATGTATTTTATTTATTAATTTCATTTGTATCTTTTTAATAAATTTAGATATGCCTTTTCAACTCTATTCAAAAAATTATTTCTATTTAAACATGTACTTCAAATTTTATCTTAAAAAATAGTAAAATATGTTAATACTCAATTTAATTTTCTTTCTGCTTATGTTATTCTTCATACATTTCTTTATATTCTTATATGAAAGATTTCAAACATTTAATAGGAAGCTTCTTTTTTTTTTTTTTTAAATCGATTCTTTTAGGAGCTAGGTTGAGAAAATTTAGGATTCTTTCCTATGTTCTATGTTCAGTTTAAGAAATGAAAAAACGGTAATGCGTATGCGGATTTAAGATTAAAGTGATTAAACATAAACTATATAATTAAGAAATAACTAAAATTGATTTTAAAAATAAAAAAATTAAGAAAAATAAACATAAAATGATAAAACATAAACATACAAATTAATTAAAAAACAAAACGTAAAATAATTTAAAACTAAACATAAAATTGTTAGAACATAAAAACTAATTTTACTTAAATTCTACATAAAAAAGCAGAAAAGGCATTAATTCTGATAATACTTAAAATGCTTCCCCCCCCCCTTCCGAAGGGCTACGAAATCGTTTGAACAAAAGAAAAAAAAAAAAAAAAAAAGCATAGAATGTAAAAATGCTAAGGCATTTTTAAGCAATAATACTTAATAAAATAAGAGTTTTTTAAAACAATCAGTTCATATTTCAATTAAGAAAGAACAGAAACAGTTTTAAGATACTTATTTTCATAATAATTTTGTAAACATTTAGTGAAAAATCATTCTTACAGAGTTAAACTCGGCATTTTTTTCTCTAATTTGAGTTTTCTAAAGAATACCAGCAGCAAATGTTCATTTGTGTAAATATATAAAATATTTTTAGTGCAGATGTATTTATATACAGCTTCACTATATAATAAAATAAATTAAATGTTACTAACATACCTTAGAAGCAGGCAAGTGGCCGATGGTGATGAAAACAGCTTGACGTTTGAACAGGGAACTTGAAATTAGAAGAAACTGACAGAAGTTTTCAAGTCCAAGAAATGCAAGTGCATTGTTTTTTGCTGCAATTTGTTACTGTTCTAATTTCAGGAAAGCAATAATAACTTCCTCTTTGCAGCTTCACGAAAGTTTAACAGTGTGAAGTGAAATGTCTTGTTACATTCATCTTCTGAGTCATGTTCCTATGAACACAAAAAGTTAGTAGTTACACAGTTTTAAAATATGAGTCGTGTGTAGTTGAAAGAATATATTACCATTCTTTTAAAAACTGTAAGACATATTCGACTCCGTTTAAGTTTGCTGAAGAACGTTAGCTGCAATTGTTCAAATGCACACCAAAATGATCTTCTTACTAAATTAAAAGTTCATAATAGATGTATCGCTAATGTAAAAAATCAACTATTTTAAGTTGCTTTCAAATGACAACTCAAAATAAGCGAATTGATTTCTCATACAGGTATGCAAAACGATGTTATAACAGTTTTGCAATAGTTGAAAAGCTTGAAAATCAAATCATTAATTATCTACCATCCAAAAAAGCAATCTTCTATAGCATAACATCTTCTTTGACCAATAGTTTCTTTGTTATAATTTTAATTACGCTTGTTTTTCCTTACTTCAGATATTTTTCTGAGCTGAACCTGGAGATTTAGGGATACCAAAAGATGATAATAGTTCAGGAAAAGAATATCATACAGTACTTTAACAGACTTCGACGAATTGAACAAGCTTCGGCAACTGGAACAGACATCAGCAGTACTTTCTAAAACAATGCATTCATATCAGAACGGGAAATAGATAATGGCAGGCTTTTATGCATACGTTTATCTTTTTACCACCATGTTGCATGAATATATATAAAGGACTTCAAGGTTGGAATATCTTCCTATCATTGTCCATTTATGTCCAAGAAGGTAATTAGATTGTTGTTGCTTTCTAATACTGTAGAAGGTAATTCGATTGTTGTTGTTTTCTGATACTGTAGAAGGTAATTCGATTGTTGTTGCTTTCTAATACTGTAGAAAGTAATTAGATTTCTGTTGCTTTCTAATACTGTTTTGCTTAAACAGATATGAAGGAGTTCTTGGGCAATATCAGGTCATGAATGGTCTGCTTTCAAAGTTAAGTAGCGCGATAATTATTTATGAACTGCGTTCAACTTTAAGAACCATCAATACAAGTTATTTTTCAGTGAATTTTTGAAGAATCAGATGGTAGATAAGCCGTTGATAATTAGTTTAGATCAACCAGGATTTCTCAACCAGAATTATATTTCAGCATTACTTTTGCAGATGCTTGAAAAGTTAGAAAAGCCAAAATGCGAAAAGTCATTAATTCTTTTGAAGCACTAAACTCAGAAGGTAGGTGAAGTGCTGATTTCTCAGAGTCAAATGGCTACAATTTCCTGAAGAAAGTTTAAATTCGAATGCTCATCAACAGTAAGTAATGTGAGGAATTTTGTTAGTTTGAAAGATACGTAAGATTATTATTACCGAAACCCAGCAGAGGTATTTGCTCATTTACTGTGGTCGCAGTTTATTGTCCTAAAACTAGCAGTGCCTGCCAACGGCAAGGCAATTTAAAATTGTACTTCTACCATGATGTTCCATTTTATGAGCGCCCGCCAGAACGTCATCTCGCGAATTATACTTCTTCGCCGGCTAGACAAGCACAGGTGCTTAGTTTCGGATT